CGTGCCGTGCGCGCCCGCCGCCGTGTGCACCCCGTCGGGCAGCGACGAGACAAAGTCCCACGCGTTGGCCGCCCGGAGCGCGGCCTCTATCGTGGCGTCGGACACGGGCGCCGCAGCCGACGAGGAGTCGAGGCCGAGGGCAATGTTCTCCCGGATGCTGCCTTGGAAGAGCGTCGGCTCTTGCTGCACAAGGGACACGGCGCGCCGGTACAGCCGCGGGTTGAGGCTGTCCAGCGCTTTGCCGTCGATGAGGATGTGCCCGCTGGACGGGTCGTAGAAGCGCTGCAGCAGCGCAATCATGGTCGACTTGCCGCACCCTGAGGCGCCGACAAAGGCGGCAAACTGGCCCTTTTTGATCTGTGATTGAGCACGCCGTGTTAGTGTTGCGTGGTACAGAGTCCCGTCACGGTTGCACGTTACCTCAAGGTTGACGCCTTTTAGAACAGACGTCTCCGGACGGAGCGGGTACGAGAAACGCACATCCTCCATCGTCACGGGCCCGGCCGCGCCAGGTCCGTTGTCCTTGTTCTCGTCCGTCTCCCGGACGGTGGGCTCGAGGTCGTGGAGCCAGAACAGGTAGTTAGCCGCGTTCTTGCCCTTTGTCAAGCTGGTGGAGAACTGGAAGAAGAGCGCGGTGGCCTGGCCCGAGTAAAAGACGCTCATAAAGGCGACAAAGAAGTCAAAGAGCTCGAGCTGGCCAAACGACAGGAGCCGGCAGCCGTACCAGAAGCCGAGCGCGAGGAACCAGTACTCGATGGACTGGGTAAAGGCGAACCAGATCATGACGGACAGCAGGGGCCGGACGGAGCCGGCAATGGCCTGGTCGAGCTCGTGCGTGTACCGCTCCAGGACGGCCTCTTCGATGGCGAGCGACGACACGGTGCGGATGGACGTGACGGCCTCGGAGGCAATGGACGCGCTCTTGGCGTACCGCTGCGACAGCTGGTCGTCGAGGCGCGCGTCGAACCGGATCTTGAGCCAGCCCGCGGCGAGCAGCGGCGGCATGCCGGCGAAGACGACGACGAGCCCGAGCCTCCAGCTGTAGGCGATGGCGAGGGCGCTGCAGGTGACGACGTTGAGGACGCACACGAAGATGAGGCCGACGTTGATGCCCATGAGCTCCAGGATCGACTGCGGGTTGCTGTCGACGTGGCTGGTCAGCGAGCCGGTGCTGTTTTCCGGCCGGTCAAAGAACTGCAGGTCCTGGCGGAGCATGTCGTCGAGGCTCTGACGGCGGTACTTGTGCGAGAGGGCCTGCAAGAAATGTCATGTTAGTTGGCTAGAAAAGAAGAGCCAGGGGCGCGGGGGGAGGGGGGCAGCGTTACCTGGGCAATGGTGTTGGTCGTCCAGCCGAGGATAAAGTAGAAGACGAGACAGCCGGCGGCGAGGACGACGAACATGGAGGCGAAGAAGTTGCCGCGCTCAACCATGCGGGCGCCGGTCAGGGTAAAGACTTGCACCGTGTTGGCGACGAGGATGGCCTGGCCGGGGAAACCGGCGCTGGCACCCATGCAGCCGATGACGGTGAGGACATACGCCCATGTCAGGTCCGGGCTCTCCTTGACCAGGCGCGCCACGGCCGCCACCATGCCGCGCTGCTTGTGGTTGGCATAGCTATCGCGGTCCTTCTGCATCTCCAAGCGCTGGCGCACCTCTGTCGCCTGCCGCGTCAGCGTCTGCTGCATATCCGCCAGATCCAGCGCGGCCTCGCCACTAGCACTCTCGTTGGCCGTGGACTCGCCCTCGTCGCCATGCTCGCCGTCGGCGCTCGCCGCGACGGCCAGGTCCTGGATGCTCACGAGGTGTGCGTACGCGCCGGCAGCCGCGAGCAGCGCCTCGTGCGTGCCCTGCTCGACGATGCGGCCGTGCTTCATGACGACGATGTTGTCCGCCTTGCGGATGGTGGCCAGCTTGTGCGCAATGGTGATTGTGGTGCGGCCCTTGGACGCGCGGTCGAGCGCCTGCTGCACCACGCCCTCGGCGTGCGGGTCCAGCGCGCTCGTGGCCTCGTCGAGGAGCAGCACCGTGGGCGCGGACACGATGCTGCGGGCAATGGCGACGCGCTGCTTCTGGCCGCCCGAGAGGAGGCCCCCGCGCTGGCCAATCTCCGTGTCGTAGCCCCGGGGCAGCGCGCAGATGAAGTCGTGCGCAAAGGCCGTCGTGGCGGCGTCCTGGATGAGCGCCATCTTTTCGGCGCGCGGGCTGTGCTCCCAGGGCGTGCCGACGAGGCCGTTGGCGATGTTGTCAAAGACGGAGCCTTGGAAGAGAACAGGTTCCTGGGTTGTGTTAGTTGTCGACTTTCTCATGCTGGGGTAGGGAGTGTTACCTGTTGAACAAGTCGCACATTTTTGCGAAGCCAGTTCAAATTAAGGTCCGTAATGGGACGACCGTCGAGTTTAATGGTTCCGGAGAGGGGATCGTACCAGCGCTCCAAAAGACCGACAATGGTGCTCTTGCCTGAGCCGCTCTGACCCTACACGATGTGTTAGGAATGACGCAGGACGTCTTTTGTGGGAGCGACTTACCACCAGAGCAGTGACCTTGCCAGCAGGGACATGAAGGGAAAAGTTGTCCAGCACAGTGGTGTCCGGTCTGGTCGGGTACGCAAAGGTAATGTTTTCGATTTGGATGTCGCCTTGGGTCTCACTCGGCTTCTCGCCCGCGGCCGCAAACGCATCAATGTTGGATTTTCTGTCAATGAGGACAAACAGCTGCTCAGCACCGGTGGCGGCGCGAGTAAACTCAATCAGGTAGGGGGCCACGTTGGTCAGGCTAATGGCAGCAATCACAACAGACAGCAAGACACTACAGTCCAAGCAGGGTTAGCACCGATACGAGCTGTGCGACGGAGAAGACGTACGTGAAGATTTGACCCGGGTTTTGAATCTCGCCGCGCGCCATCATGTTGATGCCCTGCCAAAAGGCCAGACCGAAGCCGAGGTAGACAATGGTGTACTCGGCCGAGAAGAGGGCGCCAAACAGCGGCGAGTTCTTTCTGCCGAGTGTATGGGCCTCTTGCAGAAAGGCGTCAAATTTGGCGACGAGGCGGGCTCGCATCTCAAAGGCGTGCACCGTGCGGGCGCTGTCCAAGACGCCCTCGGCAAAGGCGTTGGCCTGCGCGTGCTTGTCCAGGACGCGGGTCTCGATGGCGGCCTGCAGGGTGGCGATGACGCCCATGACGACGAGAATGGCGGGCGCGACGCAGAGCGTAATGAGGGTCAGCTTCCACTGGGTGACAAAGGCGATGACGAAGGCCGTGACAAAGGCGGACAGGCCCTGGAAGGTGAGGCCAAACTTTTCCGAGATGCCGCCCTGGATGAGGCGGCCGTTGTTGGTGGCCTGGGTGGCAATGGAGCCGCCGGCGCCGACGTCGAAGAAGGCGACTTCTTGGCTCAGGGCGGCGCGCAGGTAGGCGGTGCGCATGTTGCGGACGATGCGGTAGGAGGCGTAGGTGAGGAGGGTGTTGTAGATGTAGGACAGGACGAAGCGCGCGATGCCGAGATAGACAAAGTAGAGGCTGATGCATTGTTAGTGGGACTCTTGGAGCTGTGAAAGGGGTGGCCGGGAAAACGTACGCGAGTCTGCTGGCTTCGCTGCGGAAATGGGCGGGTGTTGCTTTTCCATTGGCAAAGTCGGTCATGGTTGTGATGAAGTCGCCAAAGATGAGATTCTGCAGCGAGATGCCGGCGCCGGAGCCGATGGCGGCGATGATGGCGATGGCTTGGAGTGTGTATTCGAATGAGGTGGCGTATGAAAAGATGCGCTTGTCATGTTGGTCAGATGTTTTCCGAGGGATGGATGCAAGCGGAGTTTTCTTACAAAATAGGCATTGCCCGATGATGATTGCTCAGTCTTGAGCTCGGTATTCTGCGACGACAGCGGCGCCTTTTCGTCAAGGGCCGGTTGGCCTGGAGCCTCCATGGCTGCGCAGGATGTGAAGCGACGGACTGCGTGCAAGTTGTCGGTGAAAAGTAGGAACAAATGCAAAGACAATGGGGAAGAAGAGCGATGGTTGTTGAACAAGTGCTTAATTTATACAAGATACATACAACTCTGTGTGCGTTCAGAGCGCTTCAAACGGTGCAACCGAGGACAGTGTAACATGGGTTCGTCTTGACAGGCTCTCACCACCATTATATAGCAGCTGCGGTGTCAAGGGACCACGACGGCCCCGGTATAGATCTCACTGGCCTCAGCTGAACCCCGCTGCGCTGCGGCTCCTCATTCCCGTAAGCCTTCATCAGCCAGTCTTGTGTGTGGATGTGCGTGGCGCGTTATCTTGGCAACGTGGGAAAAAGGCTAGCCGGATCCCGAGGGAAGCACACGCCGCGCCGGGCCCGAGGACGCGGAGCGGGACTAATAATTTCGCCTGGCAAAAGAAAGCTTGGCTTTTTGGTCCCCGAGACTGTGAATCACAGCGAGGGCTTGGCAGCGTGTCCAGGTCGTACTGGTATCCCTAATAGGAAATTGGTGTATTCGTGATGATTGGTGTCATTGCGTGAGAAATTTGTGTATAACGGGTGGCTGCTGACGGCAAGCATGAACTCTGGGCCTGTATTGCCCTGTTGGGCTAGTAAGAAAAGGGGAATTCGTTTTTGCTGCAGTCATGGTGAGCTGCAACCGGGATGGCGGCGGCGGACCGTGTCATCATTCACAATCCCGCGCGAGCGAATCCCGGTGTGGTCCTGCGAATCCCGGTGTGGTCCTGCGAATCCCGGTGTGGTCCTGCGAATCCCGGTGTGGTCCTGCGAATCCCGGTGTGGTCCTGCGAATCCCGGTGTGGTCCTGCGAATCCCGGTGTGGTCCTGCGAATCCCGACCAAGAATCTTACTCAATAATCTGAGCCAGCCTGCAGTACTCTCTTGAAAAGGCCATCTCCCGAATTCTTAAACCATCTTTTGCGTCATGACTGGATAGCTTCACGAACCCCCGCGCTGGTGTCACGAAACGCAACAGCTCGTGAGCGTGAAACCCGGGACATGCGCAGCGTGCCATGTCGTATTCGCATTTCACCGCCCTCTATGGCGCCACAACGCTTCGGTGCAGAATAGCCATCACAGACATTCTTGTCCAACGCTACGCCCTAGCCGCTCCAGTCGTATTTCGCGTGCAGTATTGTGTGCAAGAATATATCGCAGTGCTGCCATTCGACTGGACACGACGACCGACGTGTTGTCCGGCCGTGACAACCAAGCCCGCCTTGCCACCCAACTATGCGTGCCTCTGCTACTGACTTGAAGAGCAGTGGTTTCCAGTCGGACAACGCTAACGAGATCTGGCGTGCCGGATCTGGAGAACAGTACCGTATTGGGGCGAAACGCGTGTATTTTTCCTGATTCGCGATGGGAGCTAAAAGGGCGATTTGGTAGGCTGCTCGTTCCCGGAAGTAGCCGTGACATAAGAGATTGAATTTTCCCTGCGAGGCCAGATTGAGTGTTGGCCGCATTGTACGATAAACTCACATCATGGCACGCGAGTCCGGTGTTTTGCCTGGCAGAAATACGCCTTGTCGTGCGTCTCGAAGAAGCACGGCGAAAAGCACCAGACGAGGAGCGGGTTCTGCGTGCGCCGCGGTGGAAGCGCCCAGATCTCGTCCTCGGCGGTGCCGCTTCCGTCGTCGGCAACGGCCATCGCTACGCTGGGGCGTGCATCGTCACCGGGCACGGGCAAGAAGAACAGTCTCGGCTGCAGCGCTGGTGATGTGGTGATGAGGGCGCGCCAGGTTGTGCTCACGCGCTGCGCCGAGACGAGGAGCGGACGGCACAGGATGGCCTCGCAGCTCCGGCACGGCCAAGCCTGCGGCAACAGCTACGACGCGTGGTTCTCTGGATCTGCCGGGATTGAGTTTGTTTGACACGTCAGCATCTCCAATATCGAACGGGAGCTATTTTTCAACGGGAGCTGGGTTGCGTGTTTGATACAGGGCCTGCGCTGAGTTGGCGGCCGGCCCGCCGTTTGACAGAAACAAACAAGTTGGCCGCGAGTTGGAACCCAAGGATACAACGTCAAGCTATCTGTCAAGAATGACACTTTATCCTCGACGAAATGTCAACATGCACGGTTACCAAAAGCCATTACTCGTCATCTTGATTCAGAGCTACGAGACACTACTTTTCAGCGCGGAATACCGGACTCTCCCACCACCCTCTTCATCCGCGAACCAGGAATGTAGATCAGGCCCGCGTAATAATGTCCTCTCGCTGAGCACCCGTTCCAATCCACTTGATCTATTGTCGACAGTTAGCAACGTTTCCCAGGTGTCGTCGCCTGCTTGCCGTCGAGGCCAAGAAAATTCCACTTGCCTTGACGCCGATAAACCGCTCAATGTACTCGACATACTTCTGCGCCTCGGTCGGCAGCTCGGCCCACTCGCGCCGCTTGGCAATGCTCGTGTTCCAGCCCGGCAGCTCCTCGTAGACGACCTCGACGCGCTCGAGCACGTCGTGGTCCGCCGGGAACGAGGGCATCTCTGCTCCCGTGTCCCGGTCCCGGTACGCGATGCCGACCTTGATCCTCTCAAACGTGTCGAGCACGTCGAGCTTGCTGAGCTGGATGCTGTCGTAGTTGTTAATCATGCAGGAATAGCGCAAAGCGACGAGGTCAAGCCATCCGCACTGCCCAAGAAGTTAGTCGTCAAGCTCGGTCCATCGGATTGGGAGGATGCGCACTCTTAATTTCTGCTTAATCACCGCAGCGTACTCGCCGCCCAGCTTTTGCAGCTGCTGTCCAACCTCGCCAGCGTCCTCTGTTGGGAAGCCTCCCAGACCGAGGCGAGTGTTGTATCTGGTTCCAAGGAGTTAGCCTTTACTTCGGGTATCCCTGGGCTAGGGATGCAGGCGTGCTACTTACGCTTTTGTGACACCAATAACCTCCTTGATGTCTCTGATGCCTAGACCAAGACCAGAAATCGCGCCACCCAAGCCGGTGCTTGAGCTTGTAACGTGGGGGTACGTGCCATAGTCCACGTCCAGCAGGATAGCCTGGCTCCCCTCGACGACGATATTGGCACCTCGCTCCTTAGCCCGGGCCATGAACAGCACGCCATCGACGACATATTTCTGAATCGCCACGCGGTACTCCTTGAACCGGGCAATCTCGTCTTCCACGTCGTACTTTAGGAGGCCCCCAAACCGCTTCTGGTACCCGGCGGCCAGCCGGCGCAGCTTCTCCTCGAACCGCGCCTCGTTGAAAATCTCAGCGATGCGGATGCCGCTCCGGATGGCCTTTGTGCTGTAGCAGGGGCCGATGCCGCGTCGCATGGAGCCGACGGCCTTGCCCGCCAGCTCTTCTTCCTGGGCGGCGTCGACGGCGCCGTGCAGGTCAAAGTTGACATGGCACCGGTCCGACACAAAGACGCGCTCGCCCGCGTCCTTGATGCCCTCCTCTTGGATGTCGGCGAGCTCCTGGAAGAAGGTGGGGAAATGGAAGACGACGCCGGTGCCGATGAGGGCTTGGCACTTGGGCACCATCAGGCCAGAGGGGAGGAGGCGAAAGTTGTGATAGATGCCGTTGGCCTGGACAACATGACCGGCGTTGTGCCCACCCTTGAAGCAAACTGGTTAGCCAATGTGCTTGAAGTATTGTGAATGAGCGTGTAAGTTGGGAATGGCATCTGCTAGAAAGACGACCGCGTCAAGGAACTGAGCAAGACTTACGGCGGCACGAGCAACAACATCGGCCTGGGAGCAGAATATGTCTGTGAGCTTTCCCTTGCCTTCATCACCCCATTGGGATCCAATAATGATTGTAGTGGACATTATGAAAGAATTTCTGCGAATTGCCCGACTGGCGTCAACTGGAGAGTGATGCTTGCAGAGAATAAATGCTCCGGTAGGTACGAAGCAGTTTGTTTATTCAATCGCAACTAGAGAACCAACTTTAAATATCTACCCGTACAAATACTCCGTATAGAGTATACAGAGTATACGCCATGCGGGATCGGGCCGCGCCGTCCAGGTCCGTGCTATGCATGTCTCGGCTGTCGTCATCTGCGGGCCGCTGTTCGTTGTCGGAGGCAAGACCTTGTGGATCGAGCTGAAAAAGATTCTGAGCTGAAAACAGCCGTTTGCAGAATAGTATACAGTTCCCATCGGCTTGCCGGGGGTTTTGCAGGCCAATTAATGCTGCCTTGCTGCGATGCCTAGGGGGCGATAATTGAGAGGCCCGTGGAGTTTGGACATGTGGCTGGGGTGAGCGAACTGCCGATGCTGGGCTCCTGCAAGGTCTTGATCCAGGTCAATTGATAGAGAAAAATCCCTGGCGAGACAGTCTCAGCTCGCCATTCTGTGCCCGGCCGATTCGAAATCGCCCCCGCATGCGCCAAAGACTCGCAAAACAGCTTCATTTCGCAAACCTTGATCGTCCACGTCCCATTGGCCCCCGCCTTGAATCTGTACAACTGCAAGCGAGATAAGTATAGTCCACAGTTCAGCCGCTGTGCCCTAAAGGGGCTTGCCACTTACAGGGACATCCTTGACGAGGTGAGGGATGTCACCAGTGTTGAGCCATTTATTCAGACCTGCAGTATGAATTGGCCACCGTCAATATATTGCGTACTGAGTACAGTCTGTCTCTGTGTCGTCTGCCATGTCTCAGGCTGTCTTTTCCGCTGTCTTACAAGACCGGGTGTTACAGGAGCCAGCAGTCACGGTCCAACATCACTCTTACACCAAAACACATACCAGACATACGTCCCGTAGTTTCGAAATTCCAATACCAACCCCACTGTAACAGTAATATATCATATTTCGAAATCTGGCTCCCCCCCAAGAAGCATTCCCCCGATTGCGGCGTCGAGCACGGATCGGAGCGCGCGTGCACAGTTGCCCGATCGAAGGTCTCCACCACCCATGATCTATTCCCACACTCGTTTTCTTCTCTCCTTTTTTCTTTCCCGGGCAAAGGTTGCTATACCGCTCCTATGCCTTCGATCCCGACATGCACCCGTGACGGCGAGATCAATCGGCCTGTGATGGCTGCCGAATCCACAGAGACGACGCCGCTCCTCGTCGATCAACCCTCCTCACCAGACAGCCACGCCACATCATCTCACATCGAAGATGGCACCCCTCCACCAGTCACAGCCGCCGCGGCCATCCAAGCCCTGCCGAAGCTGCAAATCTTCCTGCTCTGTTTCGCGCGCACCATGGAGCCGATTGCCTTCTTCGCCATCTTCCCGTTTGTCGCGCAGATGGTGCAGCGCAACGGGCGGCTTGCCGAGTCCGACGTGGGCTTCTACAGCGGCCTGATCGAGTCGCTCTTCTCCGTCGTGCAAATCTTTGTGCTCGTCGTCTGGGGCCGGCTGGCGGATGCTGTCGGCCGCAAGCCCGTGCTGCTCGCGACGCTGACGGGCATGGTCGTCTCGACGCTGGCGTACACCATGGCCACGTCGATCCCGCAGATGATCGTCTTCCGCTGCCTCGCGGGCGTCTTCTCCGGCTCGCGCCTGGTCCTGCGCACCATGCTGTTCGAGCACTGCACGCCCGACAACGAGGCCCTCGCGTACAGCTGGTTCGGCTTCGCCAACAACGTCGGCACCACGCTGGGGCCGCTGCTCGGCGGCGTCCTCGCGGATCCTGCGGCCCAGTACCCGGGGCTCTTTCGAGGCGTGGCCTTTTTTGAAAAGTTTCCCTACGCGCTCGTTGGCTTGGTACTGTTTGCCGTGGGCGTCGCAGAGATTGCCATCACCGCCGTGTTTCTGGAAGAGACGCAGAAGCCAGAGGAAGAGCCCGCGTCTGCCGCCGATGACGGCACCAAGGCTGCCCACCAAGCTCTCTCCATGCGGGAGCTTCTCATGGCGCCCCAAGTTGCTATTACGATTTGGGTCTACACCCACTTCATGCTCCTCGCCTTTGCCGTCACGGCCGTAACGCCCGTGTTCCTATTCACCCCCGTCGCCATCGGCGGCACTGGCTTCTCGTCTTCGCAAATCTCCGTCTACATGGCCGTTACCGGCGCTAGTCAGGCCTTTTGGCTCATCTTCGCCTTCCCTGTTCTGCAGCGTCGCTGGGGAACCAAGGACTTGCTGAAAGCGTGCGCGACAGCCTACCAGTTCTTCTTCGGCGGCATCGTACTCGTCAGCATCCTTCTTCGCAGCGGCAGCACGTCCGCCCTGGCTTGGGCATGGGCTGTTGGGGGCTGTCTCGCAATTCTTGGCCCAGGTGTGTCCATGGGCTTCACCAGCTCGCAGCTGGCCATCAACGACGCATCCCCGAGCCGCCACGTCATGGCTACCTTGAACGGGCTGTCTATGACGAGCGCTAGTATTGCTAGATCGTTCGTTCCAGGTCTTACGACAGTAATATTTGCAATCGGTGTGAGAAACCAGATAGCATGGGGGTATCTTGTATGGGCTATTCTCATTCCCCTGGCTATTGCCTTGAGGTTTTGTGTAAACTACATTCCTGGAAGCAGGAGAGTGCCTGGAGATAAATAAAGCCATAGATAGTACGAAGTGTATTAAAATTAAACTGGCCGAAATTCAGTTCGTCTTGCGGAACGTCGGATCAACATTGCTCCAATGACAGAGGGGAAGCTGAAGGCCCTGGTATAGACTCCACCAACTGCAGCCTGGATGTGCCATACCTCTGCCCAACAATCCTTCCTGCAGCGTCATTTGTTTGGCCTAACTAAGTTCCACAGACTACTATTTCAACAACATCGAACCTTCAAAGTGTCGCAGCATGTCTCATGGTGCAACTTTCCCGATTGGCACGAAGGGTGCCGCCATCCCCGCACTGGGATTCGGGACATTTCAGCCAGATCACAATCCCGAAGCTGGTGTAACAGAGGCCGTGCTGCGGGCACTCGAGGCAGGGTATCGCCATATTGATACGGCGTGGACGTACGGCAATGGCGAGGCCGAACGAGGCGTTGGTGAAGCTCTGCGAAGGTGGAACGGCAAACGAGAAGAGGTTTTTATTGTTACCAAACTGTGAGGAATACATGTTCCCAGATACTTACTTATCTACACTATATGCGTTAGAATACTGATATGATAGTTAGGGCAAACGTTCACCATAAGCCAGCAGACGTCGCCGCGGCCTTGGAGCTCAGCCTCGAGAATCTTGGTCTAGATTACGGTATGGCAGACTAACCTCGACCAAATACTTGCACACGTTTCTCACAATCCGCAGTCGACTTGTACTTGATGCACAGTAAGAACGTCATCAGGCAGCACTCCGCTCATGCTGATCGTGACAGCCCCTGTCGCGTACCATCGAATTGGCCAGGGCGAGAATAAATGGCTTACAGCCCGGTACCCCGACGGAAAAGTATCAACTTGATTTGGTTTACTTATAATGATGATGCTAACCTCAGAGCGCAGCCAAAACTGGATATGCCGACGACCCAACGCTACGATCTGACGTGGAAAGCCATGGAGCAGCTCGTCCACGCTGGCAAGGCCAAGCACATCGGTAGGCAGATGAATCGGGGAAAGTAAGCTCATTGAGACTAAGTTGAAAGGTGTCTCCAACTTTAGCATCAGAAAAGTGCAAAAGATTCTCGCAACTTGCACGATCAAGCCAGCCGCCGACCAGGTTGAGATTCACCCGTGGGTGGAGGCCTTGCTGGAGTTGACGATTCCCCCTCTCTAACAGCTTCAGATATCTTCTCGAGACGGACCTGATCAAGTTTTGCCACGAAAACGACATCCATGTGACGGCCTTTTCGCCGCTCGGCGGCAAGCCCGTCGGCGCCGTGGCTGCCAATGCCGACATCCCAGGGCCGCTGTATAATGAAGTGGTACGTGGCCTAATAAAGACACCTACGACTGACTACCTACCTACCTATACCCGCTAATTGCCACGTGGAATGCCAGATTCAATCAGTCGCTGAAAAGCATCGCATGACGCCTGCCCAAGTGCTGCTGAAATGGGGCTTGCAGCGAGGCACCAGCGTCATTCCCAAAGCGTACACGCCTGCACACATTGTCGACAACTTTGCGGTTCTGGCCCTTGCGGATCTACCTGCTGAGGACTGCCTTGCGATGGATGAATGTAGAAAAGAACAAGGCGAGGTCCGGTTTATCAATTACCTCACGCACTGGGGGTTCGATATTTTCCGCCCCGGCCCGGAGGATCCCACCGAGGAGCCGTAGATCTATATCAAGACTGCAAATATCCCAACGTTGTGAAAGTTATACATTCTGTGATTTATGCCTTGGAAAATTCTCACATTTTATTCCCGAATAGAAAGTCAGTTCATTTGCTACCAGATCCGTACAATACAGCGACCCCACCCCCTGTCTCTCGACTAATAGCGGTCGCACCCACTGTATTTTGCCAGGTACCCCGCCATCTTGTTCTCGACCCCACCAAAACCCATATCAAGCTATTGTCAAAATAAATCTTGGTCCGCGACAAGTGACTCAGCCAAACCTTCAAGAAACCTCACCCCTTCTCTCCCCAGCCCTACCATACCCGCGACCCAGCGACGAGCGAAGCTCTATTCGCGCCCCCCCTCTTCAAAAAAGGGCCATCATGGCAGCCAACACCACAGCCGGTAACGCGCAAACCCCGACCCCCCAAAACCTGCCGCAAATCGGCCGACGACTAACCACCCAAACGCCCACAGACAACGGCAACACGACGCTGCCCTTGCGCAAGCACCCGCAGACCGAATTCGAGTAACGTTTCCCCGTCCCCCGTCGACTGTGCGGGCACATCTCAGCCACTAACCACTCTCCCGTTTTTCTCAGCATCGTCTCGACGTACCGCAGCCTCCTCGCGCAGGACCCGGACCTGACCAAGCCCGTGGCGGCCATTGAGTCGCTCATCGAGCTGCTCAACGCGGTGCCGTCGACGACCGTGTACGAGACGCTCGACACGGTCAAGACGCACTGCGAGCGTCTCAAGGCGTCCGTCGACAACCCGGTGCCGCTCACCGCCGGCACCGACCTCTTCCTGCAGTACCTCATCTCCTCGCTCAAGCAGCCGCAGCCGCATCAGCACCGAAAGCCGCACCAGCAGCAGCACCACGCCGACGACGACGGCTTCGACGCCGTCCGGCAGCACCTGCTCCGCAACGGCCGGCTCTTTGCCGCCCGCGCCATCGCCGCCCGCGCGGGCATCGCCGAAGCCGGCTGGCGCTTCGTTACCGAGGGCGCCGCCGTGCTGACCCACGGCAACTCGCGGTCCGTGCTGGCCGTGCTCGCGCGCGCCGCCGCCACGTCGTCAGGCGGGCCGGGCAAGTTCCGCGTCGTGTACGTGCGCGACGAGGCGCGCGCCGCCGAGAGCGACGCCGTCGTCGCGGCGCTCCGCCGCACGGGCATTCCCGTGGCCGAGATCCCCGGCGCCGCCGTCGGCCACGTCATGGGCCTGCTGCGGCAGGTCGACATGGTGCTTGTCGGCGCCGAGGCCGTCGCGCAAAACGGCGGCATCATCTCCCGCATCGGCACCTTTCAGATTGCCCAGCTGGCGAGCCGCGCGCAGATCCCGTTTTACGTCGCCGCCGAGACGCACAAGTTTGCCCGCAAGTTCCCCCTCGACCAGCGAGACATTGGCTTTGAGCAAAAAGTGCTCGACTTTACCACCGGCGCGTCGTGTAAGCAGCCGGTGGATGCTGTTGATTATACTGTGAGTTACCAAACAGCCCCTTGGCAGTCCCCCGTTGAGCATACTGACCAAGAGCAGCCTCCCGAACTCATCTCGAACCTGATTACCGAAAACGGCGTACACCTACCGAGCTACGTCTTTGAACAGCTGTTGGAGATTTACGGCAGCCTGAATGGCTGAGGGAAACCATGGTGGGGGGAATGAAATCACACTCTACAAATACATCGAGCATCAAACTCACGGGACATTGGGAACGTCGCACCAAGTGCCGGCGTAGACTTGGAATATCTCGGCGTCACGGAGCATCAGAAAAGTCTGTCGCTCCATATACCAAGACGACGCGGGACAAGTTAGTCTCCTAGCAGAGGAAAAAAGACAACTAAAATATGAGAGCCTCGTATAATGGCACACTTCAAAACAACTCCCCGGATCCATAATGTCCAGTCAAGCAAGGGTCTTCCAACACAACAACTAAGCGACATCGCGCACAAGGCGAGCACCAGCCCACGCATATGGATAGTTGCGCTGGTACCAGTTGACAAAGCTGCGACGGCCCGCGATCCGCGGGTGCGTGGCCCACGATCCTCCCAGAACGACATTGTGCTTGCCGTCGAAGAAGTCGGACGTGTACGCCGGATACAGTGACATGGGCTCAAAGCCTGCGTGCCGGGTGAGCGGCGAGCTCGTCCACTCCCACACGCCGCCCATGCCCGCCTGCCCGGCCAGCGTGTCGCCGCGGGCCGTGACGGGCTGCGGGTGCCACGTCTGGAAGCCGACGTTGGCACCGTCGAGGTCAATGTACAGCGAGGTCTCATAACTGCCACCGCTGCCATTGACTGCTGGTTTCGCCGTTGAGTCGGGTGGTGTCTCTTCCACGCCATTGTTGACCAGGTGGCTGTAGATTCCATGTGTTAGCAGATGGGCGTGATTCTTGTTAAAATTCTGGCTACACTCACCCATTAACAGCCGGGACACGGTTTGAAAGCTTGCTGTGCATGGCCGCCTCCTTTTGCTTCTCCGCAAAGTGGTAGATGCTCTTGGCCTCCTCCATGGTTGGGATGCGGCCACCCATCCAGGCCGCGCAGCCAGCCAGCTCGTTGTATGAAGCGGCTACGGGCCAGTCCAGAGCGTACTTGAGAGGCACGAGACCATAGACGGTGCGCACGACCTTGTCCTTGAGATACGGCTGCATCGGGTACTCGGAACCTGCGCCGTTCAGGATGGGGCTGTTGCGGTGGGCTTCGGCAACGGTCGACCAAGAGGCAGGAAGGGTGCCGTTCTTGGTGCTGTAAAGATAGTCGGCGTACTTCGTGCAAGGTTAATCGCCTGAATTGACGCTGAAACGAGCGGGTTCGGCTGTACTCACATCCTCATTGGTGATGGCTCTAGCCTTGGCCTGGAAGGCATGGACCTTTTGCTTTCTCTCTGGCTTCTCATTATCCCAGCCAAAATTGACCGTGGGATCTGTGCCATCCTCGGGATCATTCATGCCGAGAGTAACCGTCTGCTCCGGAACATTGACCCACGCATTCGGGACACGCGCGCGCCGCGCCGCCGCACCCAGCGCCGCGAAATCAGGCATAGGCGTGTGTGGTGGCGGCAGAGTCCTGTCGCTCTGTAGCATCATATAGAGAAGTGTCTCAATGTGCATAATCTCGTGCTCAAAGGCCACCCAGATGCCGCGCGCGACGCTGCGGGGCATCTTGTCGGGGTCGCCGTTGTTGCTGTTACTGTAGAGCGTTTCGAGGCGGGCACGCACGCGGCCTTGGTACGCAGCGATTTCGTCCACAGGTGGCCACTCTTCGGGGATCTCCGAGTGCGCGTGGCAGTGCTCCGGGTTGTCCACGTCAGGGTCGATGCCACGCTCGAAAATGGACCGGTACACTGCCGGCTCCGTGGCGGGCTCTCCAGTGACCTTGGAGAGCTGGATGTCGAGAAAGGTGGGAATGTGGCCGAGGTAAAAGATACAGGCGTTGCGAAGCTTGATAGGCTTCTCCTGGAGCTCTTGGCCTGGTAGCATGCCCTTGGTGACAATGTCCCATGCCTGCCAGAGGGCGGACCAGTCTTTGAGTGTGGGCAGAACACTTGCATACTGCGAAGGGAGAGAGCTGAACGGGAGATCAGTTTTCTGCAGAAGATGAAGGCCTGTAGGGATGTCTTGTCAGCGATCAGAGTCCTAGAGCATGTCGATCATGCACGTACCATAGTCGTCGCCGCGTCGCCAGCGCTTGACCTCCTTCAGGCCAGCCGTGCGCCATAGTTTCTCGCCGCCAACTTGCGAATATTTGAGACTCTGCTCAATCTTTAATCTCTCTGCCTGTTTAATGGTTGTGCCGAGGATAGTGACTTCCTTGGTAGGCGACAAAAAAGCCTGATGGCGGCCGCCATCCTCGTCATAGATGAATTCACCAATGACTTTCCAGTCATCGAGGTGAAAGATCTCGCTGCCATGGATAGTATTGGCATGGCGAAGGCCATTGAGAATGAAACTAGCAAAGTTAGCACGCGGGTATTTTGACAACGGGAAGGGCGCAGCTCACGAGTGTGTAACGCCCTTGGAATCTGCAGCATTCAATGTTAGTTTCAGTCTGGCCAAAGCTTCGATGTCTACTTGCCATTGTACGCGTGGCTGACGTCAGGTTAGCACCAGTAGCTGCCAGGAATGAGACAGAAAAAACTCACTAGACCTTGTTTGGGTCACAGCACGAATCAATGCCAATGATGACAGAGTCGGTCGGCTTCATCACTTGGGCGAAACCTTGCAGAAAAGAACCTGCCTCGTTACGCGAGAAGTTTCCTGGACCTCGAGTCAGCCACACCAATGCCAGATAGGATTATTAGCATCTAGCATCGCACGTACCAATGCTGGAGCCGAGGTGGATAATGGTAATGTCTCGATCACTGTTGGCAAACTGCTTCAACCAGTCCTTGCCGTCGTCATATGTGCCCCAGAGCCCATGGCTGCGGACGTGCTTGTAGTCGGGGATCTGCAACAAAGTGCGCCGCAGCTCGTCTTCCGACAGATCGAGAGCATAGTAATCAATTGACTTGGCAATCTTTTCAAAGGCATCGAGAAGAAGGGAGATTTTGCGCAAATTTCTGCCGTGCGAAAGAAGGATTCTAGGTTAGCGCTTTACAATGACAGTCCAGCTGAAAGGAGGGAAGTTGTAGAGTGTTCTCTTACCCGCTTCCAAGCTCAACAACCATGGATCCCGCAGGAATCAAGTTTGCGATTTCGGCGGCATGTTTCGTGAGAAGCTCAATCTCGTAATTGGTGAGGTAGTATTCATCCAGATACGTAATCTGAGTGCACGGTTAAGATCATTGTCCAGGCAAAGCGTTGTCGTCCGCGGGAGGAAAAGGACGGGGGAGGTGGGATGCGGGATTGGCTCGCTGATCGACCAGCGAGGCGAGGGGCGCAAAGGGATTCAAACAGACTTGAGCAAGAATGACGTACATCCTCAAACAACTGCAGACCCTTTTCATCGTAGAGGAGCAAGGTCGGGAGGGTGCGATGGCCGCTGACGGGGTTCAGGCAACCGGCAATCTCCTCCTTGAGGTTAAAGTCGACCTGCTCGCCGCGAATGTCAATGATGTCAAGATGCTGCTGCTGCGTCGTGGGCATTTTGCGGGGCGTCGCGGCATCGCCAGTGGTGACGGCGTGCGAAACGGCGACGGGCTGAGCGTAAAAGGCCTCCTTGACGGCAGGCATGTTGAGCGAGATGATGTTTGCAAAGAGACGAGACGTGAAGTGGTGAAAGTGTACAAGGCTGGACCTTGGGCGTGTGGAGCTGATGTTGAAGGATTTAATGCTAAATCAAGAAATGACACAAATGATTAGATGGGTTGGTAATCTAGATGCGCAGAATCGAGGAAACCCAGCAAACGGGTGGGAGGGAACTGGTTCAAGCTATAGCGTTCCCGCAGTTGCCGGCGCAGACAGACAGGGCGCACAGCTAGCTGCTCACTGTGTGTACACGGTTTGGACAACGGGTTCAGCGTCATAATTACGCAAATCAAAGGTATCTTTCGCGGTGGGTGCAAGTATTCTAGACCAGAGTTAGTTCACCAGTGACAGCCTCCACGACAGCTTCCTCTCCACCCCTCAGTCCACCATGACTCCGCACCCGGGATGCCAGAGCTGGCTTGCTCGATGGCTGAAAAGTACACTTTGTATGCCTTTGCCTGCTAAAAGTACAAGCACACCTGTGGCGGAAACCAGGCATGTACCTGGATTCCACACGTCAAGCCCACTCCGGCACAAGGATGGTCGATCTCCAATTCACGGCTTCCTCCAAGGCGGAGCGTCGGCCGTTTGCTGAGTGGCTGAGGCTGGGCGCGGGGTTTGTTCTGTTACGCTTTGGAATCATCCTATCCAACGACTCGGAATCAAATCAAAGACCGCATGGGGCCCAACTCTAACCCGCCGTTGGCTAGAGAAAATGCGGAAAGACCAAAAAAAGCAAAACCCTAATGCCAGTAGTATCCGCGGGCCATTGACGTCGTGTCGTCACTCTGCGTGGCCTGTTTCTTGGTCTCTCCGTTCAATGTTGTAATGTAATGCGGTTCAATGTTGTAATTCACGCGTGTGCGCGCTGCATATGCAGACGTGGGGGTGAAAGATCATGTGTGGTCGGTCGGCTGGAGACGGGTGACGGGCAAATGGGCAAACGGGGTAGGAAAAGGAAAAGACGCATGGACAGCAGATCAGAGGAGCTACAGCGGCTGCAAAGCAGCATCACAGGTTGGGAGTGCCGTGAATGAGTCGTTTCGGAGGGCTGTCACGCACTAGACTATAGTAGTGTAGCAACCAGAAATTCCTTCAAATGAGAGGAATTCATTCATAACCTAGAGCTCTTCCCACTGGCATCCTGCACACAGTGCGGACACAGTGCTATTAATGGAAAGCCTGGCTCTACCATTGCGCGCATCATCAGCCCTTGCAAGGAATCGCGGACTGGCCAGGATCCTTCACGGACGCGCTCGAGATACCATTCACGCACCTATTTACCGCACACATCAACCATGCGCACCCTCATGTGCAGGGTACTCCCGACATTTGGCCGCCCAAGGTGGCAACTGCAGCCGAGCATGGGAACCATTCGCCGCCGCCAACGCAGCACAAGCTGCCAAGTAGATGCCACATTCGTCTCCCGCAAGGAGGTGTAGGTAGTACCTGGGATGTGAGGTATCTGCTGACCCGCGGTGATGTTACCTAGGGTTACGCCAGTACCGGCAGAGTTGTCACATGATATTGACTGAAGCAAGCAACTATCTACAAGTCAATTCACATATGCCGCCGTACAACGGATAGCTGACGCGTGGTTCCTGATACCGTGGCGGCCTTGAAGGGCGGCTGATTCCTCCGCCTTGATGCACCTCGTGGCAGAGCATGGCGTGTGGGATTGTGGCAAGCGCGGCAGTTATTACCATTGACAGACAGTACAGTGAGCTCCGAGAGGTATCGTAGGGCTGATCCGTATCGCCGGTACTAAAAGGGGCGCTTCAGCGGAACGGCGCGATGGTACGGAGGTTTGCGCAGCTGACGTCTTGGCCAAAGTGGCGCCATGGGGTCGTCTCCCGTCCTTTGCGGGACGGATCGCATGGCAGCCAAGAAGCGAGAGTCCGAAGGGGGCAATGGTCACGCTAAGAAAACTGTAGGATTTATCGGAAGAGCAGGCTCGAAAACACGGCTGCTAAGCTGTCACACAAAGCCCTGCCAGCTTGCTTGCTACGGTCCAGGGTAGCAGTTACGAAGTGTAACCAGACAACTTGGGAATATAGCCGCGGATCAGTACTTCACGACAGAGTAGGCTAGATCGACGTAAATATGATGTAAAAATTATGAAGCTGCGCACATTGAAAGAATCATGCTATATGCTGTGGGTTGGTAGGAATGCAGCGCTGGTTGTTTGACACGATTTGTCGACGTATAAACAGAAGGGCAATTATTTCCAGAGCTTTAGTCTGATAGAGCTTGGAGGACGCTCTCAGTCATGCCCAGGACCTGTTCCTCTTCAAGCTTGCGAGCAACAAGCTGAAGGCTAATCGGCATGCCGTCTAGAAGATCAGAATCATACTCTGCATGAATCGCCTCGCACGTATCGCTCAGGGCCTCATACTCCGGACCAACAACGTCAATAGTCTTGTCTACGGTCAGCCCCGTGGGAAATGACACGGCAGACACGTCCAGTATATTCACAATAGCCGTATACGCCACTATAAACAGCAACAGTTAGTTGTCATGCATGCGCGGTTCTGAACGCGAAACGAAGGGTGGCTTACCATGGCGTGTGCCATTGTGCCGGTGCGTCACATACGGCATCGTCGGCAGCAGCAGCGCATCGAGACCCGCCTCATTCCACCGGTCCAGGTTTGCATTCTGAAACGCCGTCCGCTCCGTCTGCAGGCTCCACACGTCGAACACGCTCATCGGCTGGGCGTCGCGGTACGCGTCCATCTCGGGCCGCCAGGGCTCGCCGGTGCGCGCGAGCTCCTTGCGGATTGCGGCGGCGCCGTCGGCGACGAAGAAGCGGCTGATCATGGTGAGGCTCTGCAGCATGTCCGTCGGGCGCCAGTCGACGACGTCGTGGCCGGCGCGGAGCAGCCGCGCGACCGTGTGCCGCAGGGCGCGCGCGACGGGCGGCGTCGGCCGCACGAGCGTGTCGTCCCACATGACGCCGATCCGGAGCGTTGGCGGCGCGGCGCGCGGCTGCCACGGCAGCGGGAGACACTTGGCGTCGCGCAGCCACGGCCGGCCCTGCACCACGACGCGGCTGTAGAGCGCAATGTCGGCGAGCGTGCGCGCCATCGGCCCGTTGACGGACATGACGCCTTCTTGGCCGGGCATGCCCGAGCGGCAGTCGCGGACGGGAAAGCGGCCGACCGAGGGACGAAGGGTGAATATACCGGTGCAGGCAGCAGGGATACGGAGCGATCCGCCTGTGCGTTGTCAGTCTGGTTCAGGATAATTTGACTCGTGTTCGAGTATTCTCACCGATATCAGTGCCTACGCCGATGGGACTGCCATTGAGCACCAGCAGCGCCGACTCGCCACCGGAGCTGCCGCCACTTGTCGTCTGTCGATTTCTCGGATTGAGCGTGCGGCCAAACACGTTGTTGATTGTCTCGGCAATCATCATGGCCGTGGGCACATTCGTCTTGACGTAAAAGACGGCGCCGGCTTCCTCCAAGACCTTGGCGAGCATGGAGTCGTCGGCGGCGGCATCGCCCACGTGCGACGAGAAGCCGACGGTCGAGTCCAGGCCGGCGAGCTTGAAGTTGTCCTTGAGCGAAATGGGCAGCCCGTGGAGCGGTCCCACGGGCTGGCCCGTCTTGGCAAAGTGCGCATCACGCGCGCGCGCGGTGGCGAGGGCCCGCTCAAAGCAAGTCTCGGACAGACAATTCACCTAACTGCGTGGTTAGTTCGGGCGGGCGCCGTGCAAGGGGGGATGGCAAGGACAGTACCAGTTGATGCGCTGCGGCTGCACGCTTGCAAAATGCACGAGTCACCGTCTCCGATGACAGCGCCCCGGTCGTGAGCTTGGCAACGAGTTGTGTGGCCGTTTGCTCCGTGATGTCGAGCTCCGCCTGCGTGAACCAGCCAGACGTGGCCGGCCAGGTCGTGACATCGTCTTGGGCGTCTGGCGGCAACAAGGTTGCAGGGACGCGCCATTCCTCGGGAATCGAGGCGCTGAGAAGAGCTCTCTTGCGGGCGCCGATATTCTCCCAGATGGGGGCTGGACTTTCCGTGGCTGGACGTCTGTCCTCCGTCTTGGCGTTGAGGATATATGCTTGCTGCGATTCGGTAGCGGTCCCCATTGCTGTTATCGGTAACGCTGCAGGGAAGATGGACAGAGTTGTAAGAGGAAGAATGGGAGGTGGGACATTGTTCGATGCGGCAACGAGGGAGCTAATGAATGTGATAGCTGCCTGCGGGTGAACCACCCATCGTGGCCGAGTCTCCGTGTACATGATCACCCCGCAAAACCCGATACCGGTGTGCGCCACCGTGGGGGTCTACATGGCGCTTATGTTGTGATGCTAATTTTTCTTTTGGCGTGTGCGTGAGTTGAGATTCGGTATATCAACACTGGCGTCTATGTGAGGGAGAACTTGTGTTTTTTCTGCCAAGGTATTTTACTTGCCTATCTAACCCACCCCGAACCACACCAACACCTCAGCCGGTAGAGCCAGCCAAAAGCCCATGCTTTAGGAAAAACTCTCGGAAGAGGGTTGCTGCACTCGGCTTTCTTAAATCGATCTGCTCGTAACTCAGGGTAACTCCACTGAGCCCTTCTTCTCCGGATAGTGTAGGGTTAGGGTCGCGAGCTGTAAGGGCCTGCCGCAGTAATCCAACCCTGTCCCCTTTACCATGATCAAACAACACCCTCCTCGACACACGCCCGGTATACAGTCGAATCACAGAAACCTTCCCTCGCGGCACCACCAGCAGGTACACTTCACCCTCACTCTCCCGCTCCCGCTTTACCGCGTCCGTCGTCTCCTCTCCCTTGCTCAACGCTTGCTTCTCTCGCTCTCGCCGCTCTCGCTTCTTCTCTTCCAGCTGACGTAGCCCCAGAACCACCCAACCAAGGTAAGTCCGGTCTTCTGCATCCTCCTCACTGCCTTTGACCTCTTTCTCGACGATCCTCCGCGGCACCCTATCCATCCGCAGGTATCCCACGTAACCCTTCCCCTTCGCCTCAAAGATCCCCCCAACCTCCACCACCGCTCTGTGCCGACCCTTCGCCCGCACACTCCACAACCATTCTCCTTCCTCTGCTAGTCTCACGTCCCCTCTTGGCCTCCCGTTTTTGTATGCACTATTGCGCCCGTCAGTCCAAATCGTGCGCTCTCTTCTCGTCTGCACGTACCTTATCGGGCGTAGACCATTGACCTCCATCCATCCCTTGACCGCGGCTTGCTTCGACAGCACCACTGATTCTCGCAACCGTAAGATCACCAGCTTATCAACTCTCTTCTCCGATGCAATCGCCGTTTGGCGATTGTTGGGCCCATCTGCCGAATCCGCCGCAATCCGCCGTATTTTTCTTGGTGCTTCCGTTATCCGCTTTGTGTCTCTTTCGGCATCGCAGTCGCCACCGCCGTCATCGTCCGCACGAGCGCGTTTACCCTGCGTCGTCGTCGTTATAGTCGTCGTTACCGCTATCTTTGCTATTAGTGCATTTCCTATACCCATCGTCTTTCTCATACCGATATCTGACACCATTGTCCGCTGTTTCCTCTCCATAGTACTCGGTCGCCAGCGATTGGTGGGTGCTCCTGTAGATGGAGGCTACACAAGGCTTCTCTCTCATCGCGCTGGCCAGTGCCACACACCTGTTCAGTTTGAGCTTCAGATGGATCAGATAGGCTGGGCCGTGAATATCATATTTCACGTATTTTGTCGCTTGTTTCGGCGGTGCTTTATCGCCTTTTGTGGATGTTGTAGACGACCTATGCTGTGCCCTCTATGTAGGTACCCTGCTTGCGCTGGTACTATAGTTGGCGCAAACACAGCAGCCTCCTTATATAAGCAGCGCCTTCACTTGCCCAATCTCACCGAGACGCTCCTGATGAACAAAGCTTCGCGTCACTTTCCTAACTACTTCACCTTCAAGACTTCAATCTCAAAGCTCGCCCTGAGACATGTTTACTTTACGAAGAAGCTGCCATAGTTTGGCCCGCCCAGATTGGATACCGCATAGCACGTGTCTCTCTCTTTCTCTCCTTCTCTCCGCTCCCTTTTCTCTATCCTTAATTTAGTGACAGAACTGCCATCGCAAGCTGAATCTAGGAGCCGCTACATATTACAACTAGCTATTAAGGTGTAAGATTCCGCTCCCGTGTTTCTGTGAGACTCTGCTCGAAACTTGGCATCGCCCAGGTCATCATCCACTCTGACGCCAGCACTTCTTTCGCCGAGGGTCGGTCTCGCGGATCCAAAGAAAGCATCTGACTCAGCAAGGATAGAAACGCAGCCTTTTCATCTTCCGGTAACACGCCAACCTTGTACTTTGCCCTGTATTTCTGCGCCCAAGCATCAAATGCTTCGCTTAGCGGAGGAGGGGTGTCATTTCCTCGAGTGGAATTGCCCTCTGCGTCAAAATACTCGAGTCGCTTCTCCCACTTCTTCCACCACTGCGGCGGCATTTGCCCAAGTATATCCTTGTGCTGCGCAACCACAGAGTCTCGCGGCACAAACTGGTCATTAAAAAGAGCTCTCCTCGCGATAAGATCCCAGAGCGCAATTCCGAGACACCAAATATCGACAGGGAAGGAAAATGGCGATGATGGTTCGAATCGCCATTCTGGGGGACGCGCGGCCAAATAGGAACGGCAGTCCCCGCATTCACGCGGGGTTTCTGCTGGCGCAAAGGATTCGCCAAAGTCAATGAGAAGCAAGTTGGTTTCCTTTAATGATATCTCAGAAGCCGCCCTGCCCAAATGGAGAGGCCGAACTGCTCTTGCAGGAACACTAGGTGGCAAGGCGCTGTCATCAACCCTGTATATATCAACTGTCTCTGGACGTCCGTACTTTTCGTAGAGTTGCTCAACAGATAACTTTTCCAAGCCAGAGTTTAACTTGAGCATTGCGTTTCCAAGATGAATGTCTAAGTAGGATGGAATATGAATTTAGTATTTACGCCAGATATAGCATGAAACAAGCGTGGACCTACCACCATGAACATGGCCCTGACTGTGCATGAATGCAACGGCTGACACGAGCTTGAGTGCCAAAGCTCTCGCCACATCCAACCTGAACATTTTGAAGGAAAGGCAATCTCTAATATTGCATTCCGCCACAGCAGTGGTGTAGCAGGGATGCGTACCGTTGGGGCCATCCACAGTAAATTCATCGAGGAGCGCAGGCATCGCGGCCGCTCCTGATGCAGCAACGGCGGTGTTCGAAACGTTGGATTTGGCATCTGAAAGCACCTTGATCATATTTGTCTCGTGCAGTCTGGAGTCCGCGGCGCCAATTTTGAGAGCGACACATGTCCCTTGCTGAGCGTCGCGTGCGAGCCAGACGGTCGAAAATCCCCCATAGCCGAGCTTACCCACGATTTCGTATCGTCTTTTGATCATGTCTCCAATCATGACTGGATGATAGCCGCCTGGAACATACTTTTCAAGAGACTCGACGTCGTCAATCCAGTGGTACTGATACTCAAAGCGCCGCGGCGCCGCTTCATCCACGGCCAAGCTGGAATGGCTCGACAGATGTCTAGAAAGTGATAGGTGGACGTGAAGACAGTTATTAAACGGCCGTTGAATGATTCTTTGCATAGGCCGAGAGCGAAACGCGACTCTGGGGAATTTCATGTCGCTGATGAGAAAGGAATGAGCTTTGATTAGCTGGTTAGGACCCGTGAAGTACTCTGGCTACATCATTTCATCATTTCAGGGGGTAGACTGCGTATGCTAGCCTTGTTTCCTGATTTTTCCTGGCCCACGAAACGGGCCGTGGCGGGTTGCGGGTTGGACCCACTTCAACCCCAGCCTTGCATTGAAATCATGACGATATAAAAAGAAGAACAGGGATACGACTTCGCGACTGGGACCATGCAGCGGTTGGAAGCCTTGCTCCAGTTCTGTGGCCCTGGTTGCTGGCCGAGACGCATTCACTCGAGAAGCGCTCGTGCTGGCAGGGCAAAGCCGTTGGCTGCTCCAAGTCGGGCTGGTGCTACAAACGCAGCGACAAAAACTGGTCAGGTGCCCGCTTCCCTAGCCTGCTGACTAGTTCGAAAGTAACACGAAAATGAGTGAGAAAGCAGATTTTTAGTTTCACTAACAATAATTCTTGCACCGTTAGTGTTGGGCACAAGAGTTTTGGCAAGATGATGATAATGTATTCTCTAGCTCCTCGGTGGGTGGCTTATAGCCCTAAGTGGTGCTATACACATGATAATATACCTTATCGCCTATAGTAGCAACCTTACTATTAAATAAACCTAAATAAACTTACCCTATATATAGATAAAAACTAATTACGCCTTACTATATATAAAGATAATTCCTTTAAAGCTAAGCTAAATTATAGGTACTTATATATATATATAGAAAATAAAAATAAAAATAAATTAATAAATATTTAATCCTTTTTTATATTTATATTATTTATATTATCCTTCTATACTAGCTATATAGCCTTCTATACTAGTACTAGTGCCTCTATATTTAACTTATCTATATTACTCTTATATACTAGTACTAGTACTTCTATACTTAGACCTTTATTTAGTCTAAATATATATTACCTCTAGTCTAGGAGTAGCCTATTATCCTAGACTAGCTTAACTAACTTAATTAGCTTAACTAGCTTTAGTAACTTCTATCTAGCTTTTAGCTTTACTATCTTAATTACTACCTTAGTAGCTACTACTATCTTAGCTATAGGTAGTCTTATATTTACTATATTTACTTTCTTTATTATTATATACTATATAAAGTTATAGTTAAATTCTAGTTTAAGTATTAATTACTATATAAATATATACTTTACCTACTAGTATATATAGCTCTCTAGGCCCTTTATTATAAGGATATTTAAGGTGTAGTTTACTATACTAAGGTAGTAGAATATACTAAAGGCTATATAGGTCTATTCTATAGGTTATATACTAACGCTATTAACTACTTTCTCTTATATTATTTTATATATAACCTCTAGTATAGTAGTAGTAATTAGGTAGTTTATATACTATATATTAAGAAGCTTATATTTAAACGTAGAGATAGCTTTAAGTAGGTATTTACTAGCCTCTTATACCTTTATTAGTATATTAATATATTACTATATAGATATAACCTCTTATTATATAGTAGCTATACTTATCTTTATTATTTAGTATATAAAATTAATACTATATAGGACTATATTAGGCTTATCTATAGGGGTATAAGCTATAACTTTATTAACCTAGTTATTTATAGCTTCTACTATCTCCTAACCTAGCTAGGGTCTTTAGAGCTAGTTCTATACTATATCTACTAAGCTTCCTATAATAACTATTAGGTCCCCTATATAGCCTTTTAGTAGTCTAGTATTACCTTCTAAATATACTACCTTTATAAAGATAGGTAGTAGTACTACTAACTACCTAGCGTCTTAGTATAGCTCTACTAGGGTAATACTTATTCTAGTAACTAAGTCCCTTAGGTAGGTAAGTTCTTAGTATATTATATTATTATCCTTTTTTAAGGTATTTATAATTCCCTATATTTTAGTTATATATACTTATAATATATTAGCTATATTAGTCCTATTTACTATATATAAGTTACTTTAAACTATATTATATATATCCTTCTATAAACTATATAAGTGCTTATATTCTACCTTAACTAGTATAATATTATACCTAGCTACTCTTTATAGCGCTATTAGCCTAATATTAATATAGCTATTTACTTATATAATAAAGGGTAGTAGCCTAGCTACTAGCTAAAGAGGTATTTACTATAGCTATATATAAGTAAGGTAGTTAATATTACCTAGGTTTTCCTTCTTACTACTATATATAATTACTAGCTTAACTTACTTAATATCTTTAATAATCTTTAGCCCTTATTACTTTATATTAATTAACTCTATTTCCTATACTTTATTATTCTATTATCTCCCTTTCTTACTATAAAGTGCTATAAGCTTTACTATTAATTTAACTATATAATTCTTTACCTATTCTTTTATCTTTAATACTATATTAAACTTAGCTATATAAGGCTTAACTCCTATAAGTACTCTCTTAAGATTCTTATCCTCTAGATACTATTTTATAGTATAAGCCTTATTTATACTATAGACTACTATAGTAACTACTATTTATATAAGTATCTTTAACTTTAATATATTATACTTAGTTATTAGTAGATTACTAGTATTCTTATAGCTAAGGGTATATAGCTACTATATACCTAATATATACTACTTAAGGCGTACTACTATAGGTAGGATATTCTAATTTAAGTATAATACTTACTATATAATAAGAGCTCTTAGTAATAGCTAGAATTTAGTATTTAGTAGGTTAGGTAGCTTTACTAGCTTACCTACTATATTATATAGGGCTTTTAGATTAACTTTATTATACTATATAGGTATAGGATCTATAATATTCTTTAGTATCTATATATAGTAGAGCTTTATAAGCTTAAAGTCTACTAGTAGGGGCTTACTTAGTATAGCTAGTATAGTTAATAGATAGGAGCCTTCTTTCTTTATTAGGTTATTAAGTAGATCCTAATACTTTATCTTCTTATACTTATAGGCCTTATATAATACTACTTTTACT